TACACTATTATAATTTATTTTATTTATTTATTTTCTTCTTATTATTTTTATAAATGTAATAATTTTAATAATAAAATATGTAAAAAATATGTATACTCAATTATTTTTCTTTATTTAAAAATAATATAATTTTTTATTTGTTAAAAATAAAAATAAATGTGTGATTACACTATTATAATTTATTTTATTTATTTATTTTCTTCTTATTATTTTTATAAATGTAATAATTTTAATAATAAAATATGTAAAAAATATGTATAGTCAATTATTTTTAAATATATATTTATTAGTTATTTAATATTGAATAACAATTACTAACTATTGTATAATCAAACAATTATATCAGTCGAATCTATTATCTACTTTTTGCTATTCACAACTTGTTATCCATTAACCACCACATATTACTCGCTACCGTTATTTGCTATCTACCACTTATTATTCGTTAAATTTTAACTATTATAGCAAACAGATGTTAACTTGAATTATTAAATCTAAAGAGCCAAAGAGTTACTTTTTTGTTGTATAGCATATATCAAGATGTATAATATAAAAGAAAGAACATGTTGATTTTTTTTTTTTCTTTTAGTTTGGTTTTGTAAATTTTACCAAGCATTTGCTCAATAAATTGACCCCCCTTGACAAAAAGTTAATCCCCCAAGGTTAAGATAGAAGAGTAATTAAGAAAGTTTATAAGACCAAAAAGAATTAAATCCTTGTGATGATGAGACCCTGTGAGGTAAATTCTCGGCCCAGCAGTTCACTCATGGGCGTCTGCACTGGGCCTTGGCCCAATGGTGTGCTATGGAACCTTAATCATAGAAAATCTTTTAATGGACCTTAAGCCCATCTTAGGACCATGAAAAACAACAATTCGAATATCCCCCAAGACCTAGATGATATTTCAATTCTTAGCTCCAAGTAGCAAAAATTGTGGGCTTTTATACATGAAATTTTTCCTAGGGATGATGAATCATTAACATTAGACCATTGTGTTGATCATTATCATCAACTCTACTAGGGATTTTAATGACTTCTTTTAAAGTAGAACGATGACAACGAACCATTTTAACAAGTTAGAGGATTTTTTTTTTTTTTAAACCTATTGTGTTTGGTTTACATCGTAAAGGTAAGTGATTATTCACTTAACAACACTTATTTAAAAATATAATTTATTGAATTTGAACTAAACAAATAGGAAAAAAAAAAAAACAACCTTCTCTACTCATCAAATTTTAATCAACAAATTAGAACTACCTCTTGAAATCAATGAAACGTCACATAAAAATAGCCATTCATGTCTACGTATAAATTCTATTGGGGTGCAAAACTACAAATAACAAGATCCAATCAATGAGAAAGACTTCAAAACATCTAAAGTCTAAGCAAAAGGGCAATTCTTTCATCAAATCAAAACAAAACCACTCCATTTAATTCTCCACATCACCATCACAAAAGAGTCAAAACGAAGAACCGACCATTTCATGCAGTCCGTTTACATTCAAAATTATTGCCCTACCATAGAGATTACATGTCAAATATAAACATCTATCAATGTTGACATGGCAAATCAAGATTGGCTTGTGGCATTTGGTTGGGACCCAATTGGCAAACAATGAAGTGGACACGCTTAGCGGCACCAAATTTTCAGCATTTGTCATTGCAATGACAAATTGGGATTGGATTAGGTTAATCTCACAAAACCTAAAAAATACCTTCCATCAAAGGAACGCACATAGCTACTATGTGGGAAGTTAATTAGCAGTAGTGACTTAGGTTTCCATGTTTCTTGAAATCATAGGACATCTTTTTTGAGTAACGAGATTAGTTAGTGGATGGTGGCAGTTTTCTCCTTTGATTGCACAATACCCTCATCATAGAGAGAGTAGTTAATTAACTGACATTTTAAGGTACATTATTTTAAGGCCATCAAGCAATAGGAAATGACTTAATTTTGTGACATCAAACGGCTGAGAGACACATTGATGGATTTTTCTTTTGAAAAAATAGTAATATGGTTGCTTCTCCTTTTCTTCTGAATAACTTTTAAACTCCTTTTTGCCTGGTTTTCAAACATGCACCATATGTTGCCTGGAAAAGCTAACAATGATTAGGTGAAAACATGTGAAGCGGCTAAGCACAAAGAAAAGGCACTTTATATAGCATGCAAATTTTAAAGTTTTGACTTAAGTTTCATTATGTTGTGGTGTGAACTTTTTTGTCTTTTATTATTTTAAAAATATATAAAATATTAATTAAAATTAATAAAATATATATTTTTATAAATAAATAATCAAAATTAATTTTATATATATCTCAAAATTTTAATACCCTTTCCCCCAATTAATTCAATTAAAAAAAATCAACTCACAACCGTTAAATCTAATGTTGTTTTAGATTAACTTTGCATTCATTTTCAAAGATTGTAGTTATTTAGATTTTTTTAACAGAAAAAACTTTTCATTAACACACACATATATAAGCATTCATGAAAAGAATGCAACCTATATAATAAAATTTGGTATGCTCCATGATTTCAAAATTCAAATGATGAAGATGGTGATCCAAAGACTACTAATAATTTCACATTGATCTTTACTTGGGATTCCTTATAGACACCAATCCCTCTATTGTAAAATTGACATATATAACCAAACTTATGTATTCAATTAAAATTTCAATCTCATCAACGGTGAAATATCATAATTCAAAAAACCTTCCTCAATTTTTTTAATATTTAAGTTCGAATTACTATTTTTAATTAAAATTAGATTTGTAGCTGCAATGAGAATAAATTTACTAAAAAAAAAAAAACTTAACAAGAGATCCGGAATATATATATATATATATATATAACAGAAAAGCCCGCTTCTCTCTAATCAAAATCTGATTACTACTATTTTTACCCATTAATCTCTCCCTCCAAAAAACCAAAATTTTCTTTTCAAAATTGACCACCTTTCTAGCCTGCTGAATCGGTCCTCTCCTTCATGTATATTTACCAAAAAATCTTCCTTCTATATTTTTAATTACCATTATACCACCATAATTTTGTTTTGCCAAAAAAATGGAATCATAAAGTAAGATAAATTTCGTGGAAATTTCTCTTTTTTCTTTATTAAAAAATCAAAAGGTTCACTTCACTATAATATCGAATTAGATATAAAATGAGTTAACAAACAAAATTCATCAAATGAAAATCACAAACTTTAAAAATCAAAATAAATTAAAAGTTATAATTAATTGTGTGATAATCTTAATGATTTATAGATTTGTTCACAATAAAGTCTCACAACAGCCAATAATATTAAATAAATTTATATATATTAATTCACACATTCTACTTTAGTGAAAATAATCAATTAAAACTATGTTGTCTATAAACATTATCAACAAATCAATTTTTTACTGGAATAAATGGTGTGAATGTTACTTCGGAAAGGTATGTTACTTCGGAAAGGTTACCTGAGATGGAAATTAGTACAAGGGCTTGAGGGAAACAAATAACTTAGTTGAGGGGCAAACCTTTTAAAAACATTTAAGCTGAAATGTATGCATGTTTCTGAATCTGGACCGTTGAATTGTTGAGGTCAGTTATGAAGCCGACGGTGCGGATTTAAGGAGGATTAAACAGAAAAGAAAATCCACGTAAGTGCAACTCAAGAGAATAGATTTGCCGACATGTGTAGTGGGGACCACTAAATATAGCACCTCGGTAAATCCGAAATAAATAAAAAAATTATTATTTTTAAAATAAATTAATAAAAATGGAAAAAATTTTGTTGTAGTGGTTAATAAGAGGACAGTTTAGTAATTCAATCAATTTTGAATAAAAAATCGAAAATCAAGCAAAATATATAGCCTTAATTCTCTGTGATTGTTATAAAATCTAATCTGTGTTTTTTTAAAAGAAAAATAGAAGAAAAAGGATTTTAAAGGAAATTTAATATATCTATTGCAGTTGGATTTTTTTATTTTAATTTTTTTTTAATTTTTTCTGTTTTTTTGACATATTTAAGTAGAATTTTCTTTTATATATATAATACTCAAGTTGGATGAGTTGAATTGAACAGAATAGAACAGAACACAGAAGAGAAGACAACCTCTGTGCTGTTTTTAAAGCTTCATTCGTTTTCCTATTCAGTTGTTGTTTTGTGTTTTGAGATTAGGATCTCATGTTCTTCTCCAAAGTAACAGTACTGTCAACGCTGGAGACATTGATGCATAGGTAGAAGAAGAAATTCAAAAACAGTTGGTTTCTTCATCTTTTCTGTAATCCAGAATATACATAGATTTGGTAGGTATTTGGATTCTTTCTTCTTCTGTTCTTCTCCTCCTCCTATGTTTCCTCTGTTTCTTTCTCTTTCTTTGCTGTGTTTCATCTTTCATACATGGTTTGGTCTTGAAATGGGTTCTCTTTTTTTAGAGGGAGTTTTTCCCAAATGTGTTTTCTCTTCTGACTGTATCAACTACGAAGAACAGTTGGGTTTTAAAACCAAATTTCAGAGTTTAAAATAGTTTTAAATTTGATTCTTTATAATAAAATTTGAAGCTTTTCAATTTATGCCTCTGTAAATTTCTCTTACCATTTTTGATTTCTTAGGAAATTTTCAGAAACACTCTCCTTTAATAAAAATGTAAAAATATATATAGATTTTAATATATAGTATTTCTTGTTTCCATTTTTAGGAAAAAAAAGTTAAATCTTCAGTCCTTTCCCTCTGGGCCTTACAGCTGTTCCACAGTAGCACTAAAATTTTCGTTTCCTTAAATATGCCCCCCTGTCATGGATTAAAAGAAAAAGATTGGAAGAAAAAAGGGAAGATTTTGCAAGGTTTCAAATTCCCCTTTACGGGTTTGTGATGTGTCATGCATTTAAGATTTCTGAAAATGGGTAACCTTTACATACCCTTCTGTCAAGAATCAGAACCCTGGAATTTTTTCTTTCTATTTGAATTTTGTTAGTTTTTTTTTTTTTTAATTTAAGGTTTTCTTTTAGTAATATATAAGTACACAACTTTTCCTTCTGATGTACTGGATCTGCAACTTCTCTCTGCAGTGAGTACTTGGATTTATGCTTTTGACCTAAAAATGTCTATTTTATGATTTTTTTCACATTTTTCATCCTTTTTGTTCTTATTATCATACGTCATCAATTTAATCTTCTATATTATGTTCTTCTTTTGACTTTTTTTTAAAAAAAAAAAACAATTTGATTGTCTCCTGTGCAGTGTTGAAGATGGATTTTTCAGAATCTGCTAGGATTGTGATAAATAGGATTAAGAAAATGGAGCCTGAGAATGGTGTCAAGATTACTGGGTATCTTCTGCTGAAAGAACTTAGTGATGATGAAATGCTTCAGTTGGCTATGAGTCCTGATATGGTCATCCAGGAACTAATTTACAAAGTAAAGCTTGAAATTCAACAACTAGTTGCCTTAAGGGCTGCTGCGGCCACTTCATCCCCAGTTTCCCCTTCCATTAACTCAGTTCCAGCATCAGAATTTCCTTCACAGTTTACTTCTTTCTCACAGCCTATCTCCTCGAGGCCTTTCCTGGCACCAGCAAGCTTTCGGGTCCAATCTCCTTATTGGGAGTCACAAATAGCTTCCAAGCAGAACTCGGATTTTGCGCCATTAGGCTACACTGATTCTCTGTCTGAACTGCAAAATCAAACTCAGTTCTTGAGTTTGGAAGATCAAGTGGAACCTGTTAACTTGGGAAACACAGGCTTCTCCAATAATTACTATTACTCAGATAGTGCATTTGGTAATGCAGGAGCAAGAATGGGTCGTAGGCATCAAAATGTTCCTGACTTTCCTGTTAAGATCTGTCACTACTTCAACAAGGGGTTCTGTAAGCATGGAGGTAACTGCAGGTACTTCCATGTTCTTACAGATAATTTGCCTCAAGTTTTTGGTCATAATTCAATGGATATGACTATGAGCAATGAAGATCAGGTTTTCTCACCTGGTTCACTTGAGAAGTTAGAGCTTGAAATTGTGGAGCTAATAAAATGGAGAAGGGGGAATCCTGTTTCAATTGCATCTCTTCCTATGTTATACTATGAGAAGTATGGGAAAGTTCTTCAGGCAGAAGGTTACCTCACTGAGAGCCAGAGGCATGGCAAAACTGGTTACAGTTTGACAAAGCTTCTTGCAAGGCTAAAGAATAGTATTAGGCTAATTGACAGGTGCCATTTTATGATCTTCCATTCCTTGTTCAACAATTTGTCCTTTGCAATATTATTGTACTCATGAACTCTTTTTCTATGGATTTACAGGCCTCATGGACAGCATGCAGTAATCTTGGCAGAAGATGCACCAAAGTACTTGGAGAACCGGAATGAGAGAAATGATCCGGGTCCAATTGTTAGTGGATCCCGACAGATTTATCTCACATTCCCAGCTGAGAGCACCTTCACTGAAGATGATGTCTCAAACTACTTCAGGTATAAAAATGCTGTTGAAACTTTATTAGAATGCAATTTTTTCACTGTTCTCCCGAGTTTTCTTATTTTGAGCCGATTGTCTTTGTAGTTCCTTTGGACCAGTTGAAGATGTGAGGATCCCTTGCCAACAGAAGCGGATGTTTGGGTTTGTAACCTTTGTGAGTGCAGATACTGTGAAAATGATTTTGGCCAAGGGAAATCCGCATTTTGTCTGTGGGGCTCGAGTCCTTGTGAAACCTTACAGGGAGAAATCCAAGCTGGTTGACAGGTCGATATATTTTCAACATTTGAAATTTTGAGAGGTTTTATTTTGTCTTGTGTCCTGTTTTCATGTTAATTTTCTTCTTGATGCAGGAACTACCAGGAAAGAATGGAGCCTCCAATGTACTATTCTCCACACTGTATTGAGATGGACTCTGAGCTTCACTCGGGTAAGTTGCTTTTTAGAAAACTTTAGTATTCCAAACGATGTAATATTCCAATAAGTTCTCAGACCATCTAGTTTGTATGATTCTAGTTCCAAGAGGGTATGAGACCTCCAGGTTGTTTAGAAAACAGCTTATAGAAGATCCAGAACAATCACTTGAAATAGAGAGGAGGCATCTTTCAGAGCTGCGTTTAGCACGAAAACCTCTGGCCAATCAATCCTGTTTTGGCTACTCTATGGATGGATTCCGAGTCCAAGAAGGTTAATAACACTCTTTTGTGTGCTTCATTGTTCATTGCACATACCACTAGCCTTTTTTTGCTACCTCGCATTTTTTTCTTTCCATTCTCCTTTGTATTCTTGTTCAAATTTAAGCTCTTGCAGATCAACATTTCCCATCAGCAGAACAATTCAACTTTCTGCTGGAAATTCTCAATAGCAACTCTGGGTCTGATGAGAAGATCAAGCATGTAGAGGCCAACTACACTGACCAAGAAAGGTATAGTCATTGATGTTTAGGGCTAGTAGAACACAAAGCAAGTAGAGATTCAGTTTCTCTCATTTCCAATACAAGTTTTATAACATGGGATTTTTTGATGTTTGTATGTTCAGCAGTGAAGGACTGAATCTTCCGGATAGCCCTTTTGCTTCTTCTCTAGCTAGTGGCATTTCTGCTATTCTTTAGGGTTAGCAACACACAGAATACAGTTAGAGTACCGGTTTGAAGGTGATATCTCTAGTTTGACGCATAAAGCTAGCTCTTTTGTTTTTCCTGTTTCTTTACTTATTAATCAATCAAAAAGGCAGTCTCCTGTACATACAGGAGCAAAGAAGACTACAACAACAATGAAGCATCTCATCCCCGTTTTTAAGTGGCAAAGAAGAAGAAGATGTGATACATAGGAGTACAGATAAAAAGGGTTCTACACTTTTGTTATGTTAACCACAGGTACAAGGCGAAGGGTCCGGTTCTTTAGGTGTAATATAGTCTTTTTAGCTGAAGAAATCGATGCAGGGAGTCTTACATTAATGTTTGGAATCTCTGTAATGCTGATCATTAGACATCGTAAAGTAGCAATCTCATACCGGTTCATAACCAGTTCCTTTCATTCAATGCCCTAAGATTTTATGAACAACACCATATCTAAATGCTCGTGTTGATGTTACGCGATAAGGGAACTGCTGCATTGATACTTTCAATTTCTCATTTTTGACTCATATCAAAATGCTTTGAGTTTAGTTTTTCCAAGATTACCACGGAGAGAAGAAACTTTTAAAACCGTACATAGTTTGTAGTTGCCAAGGAGGTCAACTGATCCACCTTGGGGACAGAGCAATGGACTGCATTTGTGGACTTACTGACTTACCCAGATAAGGACTCTAAGCGCTAGACAAGACAAACACCAAAAGACACTTCCCTAAACTTAAGGACTCTAGAAATTGGAATTTCCCACAAACAGTGTCCATGCCTTACTGACTTACCCAGATAAGGACTCTAAGCGCTAGACAAGACAAACACCAAAAGACACTTCCTTAAACTTAAGGACTCTAGAAATTGGAATTGCCCACAAACAGTGTCATGCCCTAATTAACTCAACCTAAAACCTTTGTACCTGTGACTTGAAATTCATGTTTGATCTAATAGTTGTTTTTTTTTCTTTTTTTTTTTTAAGACATCGCGAATATGTGCTAGGCATCGCGGGTGCATCACTTAATTTTTGTTTAGTGAGAATAGCAAGAAACTTTTGATATGTTTAAGAAAGATGATAATTTTAATTAGTAAAGATAAAATGTCATAATTTACCAGAAGGAAAAAAAAAAAAAAGAAGATAAAATGTCATATTTTTAAGAGAATAATGTTTATCCGTCTTATTTTTTAAAGAGTAAAAAGAATATCATTCTAAAATTACGTCATTTTAATAAACACTTATTAAAAAAGGTAATGTTTTTGGACAGATCCGGTCTAGCAGATTGAATCGGTTGAATTGGACTCGAACCTGAAAATAGGCCGGTTGAAGACTTCAACCCTTTTAAGTAAATGGCCCGTTGAAACCCGTCATGCCCGCTGAACTCATGCGACTCGCTACAACCAGCCAGGCTGAAATTTTCATCATCTCCTCGTCCGTCGATGGTCCGCCGATCTTCTCTTTCTCGATCGTCTGTCGATCTTCTTGTCCGTCGATTATCCACCGATCTTCTCTTCCATCGATCATTCGCTGATCTTCTCTTTCGTCGATCTTTTCCTCCGTTGCTGCACTTCTTCTCTTCACCGATTGTCTTCATCTACCTCATCTGTTTTGCTCAAAACAATACAAATCGTCTTCGAGTGAAAGTAACATATAAAAGTAAAATTCAATAAAAATGCCAAAAAAAAAAATTTTTAGTTGACTTTTGTTGACCTATTGAACCGATCAAATGAATTGGTTCAACCTGTTGACTTGGACCTAGTGGTCAAAACAAGCAGCCATCAGATTGGACCCAAAAACATTGAAAAAAAATTAAAATATTTTATTTTTAAAACATGAATTAAGATATTTTTTATCTTTTTTTCTCTTAATTTTTAAGGCGAATAAGCACTTACCCATATTTTTAATTTTAAAATTTTTAAACATTGTACACTTATTTATATAAAATATCTCTCTTTTTCTCCTATTTTAATTCATGATTAAATGCTTATTTTAGTTAATAAACTTTGCATTTTGAATTTGATAAATTATTTTCAGAATTTTTTTATTCTTTAACTCTACAAATTACATTATTTTTGCTTGTCCGTTACTTAAGTGGTGATATAACCATTAGCTCATTTAATTTTTTTTTAAATTTTTTGATGACGTGTTCATTATAAATGGGTCCCCTTATTTTAGTTGGGCAAAATATATGGTATCTAAGTTAGTAATTTTAGTTTAAATAGATAAAATAACAAATTAAAAAATATCCACCAATTAAATTTTTAAATATATTAAAAGTTAAAAAATGACAAAAATTTTGAAAATCTTCTAAAGGAGTGTCATTTTGAATTGACTTAAAAAGCTCATAATTACTTCTTCTTTTTTCTTTTTTTCTTTTTTTTTTTTGAACATATTACAAATTGGGAATGGGGAAATCGAACCCAATCCTAGAAGTTGAAGGATGTATCTTTCAAGGTGGCAAAACCACTAAACCAAAAATTAAGGGAAGAAAACAAATATAATGTGTAGAGTTGAAAGACAAAAAGGGTGTTAAAAACAGTTCAAGCTAGGATCAAAAGTGTTCGAAATGAAAAGTTTAGGAACCTAATTTGGCATTTAACCTTTATTCATTAATATTTCAAGTCAGGACGGACTGAAATACTTCTTCCTATTCCATTTTTTTTTTCCTCATTTATGCTTCCTAATGGAAATGAGAAATAACTGCAACTTGATGATGCATTGTAAAAAATTAGTAGAAAAATCTCAGGTGAAAACTATGACAAAGCAAGGAAGTATAGCACAGGGGTTTCTTACAATTAAGTATTCTAAACTGCTATTGAGTCCTTCCCGTCCAATTGAATCATACTCTTCAAATATCCCATCAACAGTATTAGCAATTCTCCCAGCAATTGTCCTGCAAACTATAACTGCCCTCATATTCTTCTTCACCTGGAGGGTAACCATAGTGTCACTCAATTCCTCACTGCGTGTACTCAGCTGAATCCCGTTCTTTCTGGTGAATTCCATGTCAAATTTAGAATGAATCATTCTGCAAACACGGCAACTGGGATCTATGCAAAGTTGAGAGACTAGCTTTGAGTTTCTGCTGCTGCAGCAGGCCATTGTTGTTCCAAAGAATAGTAAGAGCTCATTTCCATCTACCATGCTTCTTGGATGTCTCTTGTTCTTCTCGTAGGCATTCTTCATTACCTTCTCCCTGTACTTTTCAAACCTTTCAACAACCTCAACTGAGTTCTTCACCCTCAGGACCCTTTTGATCTTCTTTGGTGGCTTTGAGGGCTCCATTGACGCTCTTTGAAAGATCATCTCCACAACATTTCTTGATGTATCTCCAGTTTTCAGCTCTGACGAACAACATTTAGCTAGATTTAATATAAGAATGTACGAAAAAATACAATCTCACCTAGAAAGGAAATTTCATTTGTTCGAGCATACCATGAAACTGTGTTCTTGGGTAGTTTGGCCTGAAAAGAACTTCACGAAATGGTCTTTCCACTTCCAACTGATGAATAATCTGCTTCTCCAAGTTCTGCTTCTCCAAACTGCATACATTTTTCTTACTGCAGTTCTCTGGCCGCGCAACCGCATCTGTCAGCTTGCTTACACAGTTCACATTCTCCTTCAAGGATGCCCAAATTGCATGCATTTCTCTTTACAAGATTTGAATCTAAAGATAGAGTCACTACACAGAGCCAAGACAGTGGCAACTAGCAAAGTCTTGAACCTTCTCGCATCAGAGAACGAGTATGTTCAAGTGGAAATTTGGGCCTCAAACGGGTCTGCATGCTTCCGACAATCCCTGCTGAGCAATGACAAAACGGTTATTTAAGGGTTCTTGTTTTCTACCTACCCTGCATTTAAATTGCCCTTCACAAACTGAACAAAAATGGTCCACAAGCCTCTCCACTGAAAAGCAAAAAGATAAGGGAAACAGAAAATGTGAATCTTGTAAAGACACAAGGGAGAAATTGAACCCCCTAGAACCTCAAATGTCAATCTTACCACCATATACCCATGGACGAGATACAGTTTTGATGTATAAATAGGCGAGGTCAGTCCACCTAGCTAAGTTCACATGCACCGAAAACAAACAAGGAGCTGTTAATACATTCCATCATAATAAATCATGCTGTTCTGTCCTCTGTTATTTCCCAAAGGATGGAGTATTTTCCTGGCCTTGGATTCTTCAAATTCTTCAGTTTGTCATCCCACCGTAATCTGTTACAGACAAATGTATCATCATCCAACAATATCTGTCACGAAAGTTTTGAGTTGAATAGTATTTCTTACAAATTCCATTTCAAGAACTTGATTTTACAGCACTGTTTTTTGTAGCAAATAATACCTGTATTAGATCCATATTTATACAAACTCAAAAGTTAATACAATCAGTGAGTATGGCAACAGAAGGCAGTTAACAAAGATCAGCAGCAAAGAGTAAACCCTAACATAGTTCTGCCTTGTTTTTTTAACTCTCCAGAATAAAGAAAAGTAGAAGTTCTGTCCCTTTTTTATTATTTTTTCCTTCCCATCTAACAAATTTAGGGACCCGTTAGTATTCTTCCCATGCTCTGTGGATAAGGGTATGAAGAATGGTTTAGAGGTGGAAGTTCAACACCATGGCCTTCACTTCGACTTTCTCTAGATCCATACTGGCTTATGCCACCATTTAGAACACCATAATATGCTGCAATTGGGGTTGTTTGAACAAATTTGAAGCTGGAACTGCTAGTCTGCGTATGGATTTGGACTAGATCAGGATGCACTTGCTGGTGCTGGTTTGAACTGCTTTCAGGAACAGAACTAATCCCAACCCCAAGATCAAGGCTGACTGAATCACTTTCTTCGGATCTAATCCTTGGTGGTCCATTCATGGCAGCTGTTCCTGCTGTGTCATGACTACTAGTCCTTGCAGTAGGTACTTCATGGTTGTGTTTCCCTTCATATGTGGTTATAACGGCTTTAGGATCATGTGATGCTCGCTCCACATGTTTCCTGACAGGGCATCCAGCATTTGTGCACTTGTAATAACTCCTGCACAGAAGATGAGGATTGCATGGAATGTTATGTAAACATACGAGAAAAGAAAAGTATATAAATGAAAGAATAACATGCAAAAAATACAAAGCATGTGAAAGTCACATAAATTGAGACCAAATGCAAAAGAAAAATACAATCAGTGCTTTGAAACCATTAACTAAGGGAAGATTCAAGTCCTGTTCCATCCAAGCATGTGAATTTTACAACATAAGTGCTTTCTCTTTGCAAAGAAGGAAATAAGGTTGAGCTGGATCACCAAAAAAGTATCTAAGAGGTGAAAGGTACACTCTATGGCACAGAAATCACAGGGCATCATAGAAGCGCAATGACTCTCTGCACCTGGGATCAGCTCCCAGATTCAATTGCAGAGATTTATTCCATACTTAGCTTATGAGAAGAAAAATATATCACACATTTTTCATACAGTACATGGAATTGGAATGACAAACTGACCAAAGGTAGGGGTTAAGCATCAAAACAAAGCAATTACTATAGGCCAGACCATCAACTTCAATAGGTACCTTGGATTGGGATTCCCTCTCACAACTTTCTGCCCATATTTGCGCCACCGGTACCCATCATCCAGTATATCAACTTCACTCAGAGTCTGCACAACCACACGTGGCTCACGGATTGGCTTTACCACAGGAGTGATATCAATCCCCCCATCTATCTTCCTGCTTAATATAATTTGGAACTACATCGTTTAGCAAATAAGCAAAAGGACATGGATAGAAACTTAAGCTTCAATTGAAAGATACCTTCGTTTTGAGAATGGGTCATCATCATCAACTTCATCAACATTATCATCATTTACTGTGACAGGATAGAGTTCAGAGTTACCATTTGGTTCAATGGCATGCAGCATCTGACTGCATATATTAGATGACTTGTCTACAGTGCAATAATTAGACATGGAGAAAAATCATGTTAGATAATGCATAAAATATTATCAATAAATAAAATGAAAATGAAGTTTATTTTCTCACCGTCTCTTCCAGTCAGAGATGACAATTTATCAGATCTTTCTTCTTGGCCTGACACAATATTACTAGAAGAATAGCGGCGGCTTGGTTGAGGTTTAGGATGATCATGTGTACCTTTGTATATTATCTCTGTGATCTGACCATCATGTGAGCGCTCAAAAAGCTTTTTCACTTCACAATTAGGATGTGTACATTTGTAATAACTTCTTGGAAATTCACTTCCTTTAACATGTTTCTGTCCATACTTTCTCCAGTTGTAACCATCATCAGATGACATTGGAGGGCCACTTCCTCTATGATCAGACTGAGCCACCTGTATCCCACCATGGGGGTGACCAGCCTGGTTTGGTTCATCAAAATCAACTTCAGCAGGTGCACTAGAACCAGAAGTAGCCAAGGGAACAGGTACCGAGAGACTCAAATCATTCGAGGAGCTTGCCATCTCAGTTTTAACTGGTGTTGACTGACCTTGGATATGCAGGGACTTTTCACTTCTCTGATGACTCATATCTGCAGGAGCCTTGAAGTAAACAAAAGCCTTTAGACTAACAAACATCATTTTGATGAGGAAGGAGTATAATTAGCTCATCCTATGAGCTCCATAATTTCAAGAAGATAAGGACAAAAATAGGAAGGTCTAGCAAAATTTTATATCTCTGAGGTTCTGTAGCACTACTTCTGTATATTCTGAGCCTCATTCATCTATTAAAGTTATGGCTGAAGAGCATTCGTAAAAATTTGAGATTCCCTTAAATTACCAATCTATAACATATTTATATTGAAATATGTCGATATAATTATGCTTATCAGCCTAAATGAGAAATTTATTTAAATTTAGACTGAGAATATTCATAACCACTGCACTGTCAAATTACCATGTTTGAAGAAGAAGGGAGCCTAAACTCAAAGCAGCTGGATTTTCTTTCATCAAAGGCATCAGAGCACACTGCTGTTACATGATATGAACTGGCAGCAACAGAGGCTTGCGCTGCTAGATACTTAGTAAGGGAACCAGTCGTTGGAGAGGGATCTACCTGCACCATCAAGAGGCAAAAATGCTAAAAGATTACTCACTGAGAACCAAGAAGATTGTATATTCAACTTCGTTCAATGAGTAGTCAAAAATCAAAATAACTTTCATAAAAGAAACTAATAGATAACATAAAAGGGAGAAACAAAACAAAAGTGTGTAAATCAAAAACCAAGAAAATAGAAGATGACAGTACAAGAAACTTGAAATTTCCCAATACCCCAGGAAGCCTTCAATACCTGGTCAGCAAAGTAGTAGGTAAAATTACATTCCATTCACTAGCAAGCAAGACTGACAAACTTCTTGCTACTCTTCTTGTCAGGATGAATAAGCATATCAAGTTAAAATTCAATAAAGGATAAGAGATAAGCAAACTACTTCTAGCAAGGGCAAGGACAAGGGTATATAATGCCAAAAAGAATTCAAAGCACAGAGCAAGTAGATTCTAGAACAAACCCACTAAAGGTGACTACAAAGTGAATTTTATTGGTCAAGTGTCCAAACAAATCCAGTCATTCTAAAGAACGTTTAAGCTCAACCTGGAAGACCACACAGATAAACCCCATTCCAAACACCTGCTTTGTTAACTAAATCATATTTGCACATTCAACTCTGTATCATGATGTCATATGCTCTGTCAAGTCGACAGCAATCATGTCTCTCCTCTCTCTCTTGACACATACTTTCTGCTTCTTACCATTTGCAACCTTGCATCCTAGTGGCACACTTACAAACATTAAACTACTGATCCAAATGAGAGGAAAGAACCCCAAATAAGCATATATCCATTGATCCACCCCCCATCAACGATGAATCTATTCCATGTTCTACATTACACATATGAAAAAGTTCTCTCATACTCCAACTATACCCACCCCTGAACTAAAACAATAGGCACTAACAAAAGGAGATGCAATGCAATGCATTATGGGGAAAAACAACACTGGCATCATATGAAAAAAAGATTCAATCAGGAGTTTGTCATAATGACAAAGAGGCAATATTCCCAATTCTCTCCAGTCACTCAAAATTCAAATTCCACGGACACAAAGGTGCCATTTGACAATGCAATAGTAGTTGCAACAGAAAGCATAAGAATCCTTCTAAAGTGCCAATATCCACAAGCACTTCAATATAAAAAATCTAATCACCCATACAAATAACGTAAGTTGTTTTCCCTATTTTCTTTTTTGCCAAAGCAAAGAACATCTAAAGTTAGAATTAATCATCACATCATTGAAAACCTAACAAAATTCTCCACTTAAAGCTGCTCTTCTGTACTGACCTCACCTTGGTATAATTTATGAATGTGATATGCAAACAATAATATCATAATTAGCGGAAGCAAAAACAAAACTTCTGACTCTCACATCGTTGAATTTAACATTTGAGAAAAGTATTAGCTAATACTTAAAGAAATTAACTTCACTGTTGATTATTCGAAAAGCAAGCCCCTTGTCTCC